AAAACTTTAATGTTTTGAGTATAATGATGAAACAAAGAAGCAAGATAGTTTTCCTGTTGCTGTGTATGTGAACTAGACACAGGAGATGACATGAAAGTTTTTAACACAAAGCTTCAAACGGTAGTGAGAGAACAACTGACTGCGGAAGGACATCCATTACCTTCAGAAGTTACCATAGCATATAATTTTGAAACAAACTCAATAGATTTTAAAGTCATCTCTGCAAAGAAGTCAGGATTTACATTTAATGAAGCAGATGTATATTCAAATGAAAACTTCAAAGCTATTGCATGGTTAGATAATGACGATTGCTTTAAGAAAATCTTTAAATTCAGTGACTCAAAGATGTCAATAGATGACCTTCGTGGAATGTTACCATCGACGTTTACAGTAGAAGGTTCAGTAGGATTGCTTACAAGATTGTCAATTGGTGGTATTTGGTCTCGTGAGAACATTGTTATAAAATCCAGTATAAGTGAATTTGCTGAAGAATCTATATTATGTCTTTCAAACTACATGTATTCGCCGCCGAAGCATTATAGTATAACAAACTTTGTCAGTAAGTTTAACATAAGACTTGTCGAACCTTCTTCAATGAAAGATGTTGTGCTACCTAAAGATGGAAAGGATGGACTCATTATTGAGATGATTTTAATAGCATATTAAATGAGCTTGTTCTTGAAGGTCATTCATGATGAAATAACTGTTGTAGAAGATGTTAGCAATTGTTCAGACATTTTGAAGCGTATAGATGAGATAAGAAAGAAGTTAGATAGACCGCAAAGCGGTGAGGGCGAAGCCCGTGAGAACGCTTATGTTTCATTGACTTTCTCCAGTAACGAGAACTTTTATGAGATAATATTGAAGAGAGATGATTTTAATATGGGGTAAATGGTAGCTTGGGCAGCTTTAGGCGCAATGGGAACAAAAGCATTAGCATTTGGAGCAAAAGCACTTGGAGCTTATGACGCAGTAAATAAAATGAGTGGAGGAAGGGTTTCGAATACATTAGATGCAAATAAAGGAAAGATTGGAGGCTGGGTTGCAAAGAAGTTAAGATTAAATAAAATAGGGCTCATAAATAAAGCATCCAATTTGGTTGCGACTGAGTCAGAAAATGCTTTAGGAAAGGACGATGAGTTTGCAAAACACGCAAAAGACTTTAATGACTAGATGAAAGGTGAAACAATGCATTTAAATAGAGTCGATGGAACTAAAGAAAATGTTTCTTCTCCACCAGTAGTTCTTCCGTATGGTCCCTATGGAATGTATGGAAACCCTTATGAACGACCATTTGACCCATTGACTGGTGGAAGTAATTGGTATCATTATGGACGAAGAAGAAAGACAGTCAAGTTGGAGACAGACGTGAAGAAAGCAACTAAAAAGAAACCAAGGAAGAGAGTTATAAAGCAATGAATTCAACAGGGTGAAAAACCGGGTGAAAAAAGAGGTGAGATCTCACCTCTTCACCTAAATTTATTTTGTGCTATGTTTTCATACGTGTGAGGGTGGTGATATCATTAATTTTTAAGTTTATTTTTTATTTTATTTTTATATAAATGACGAAAACTATTGAGATAACAAACTACAACGGTCATGAGTTCAAGAATTTGTTCTTCGTTCCTCGTGAAAATACATTCTATCAGATACGAGGGAGAAAAGGTAAAGTTAGTTTGAGCGTTTATGACTACAAGCATAATGGAAAGTTTATACAAGCATACGATACAAACGGTAAGCGTGTTTCATTAGCTTTGTCAAAACTTACTAACATTTATTTTGACAGTGACTTTGACCTATATGAAGAAGAAAGTGAGTCAGAAGATTATGAGCTGTTATATGAAGCACAGCAATGGGAGGAGTTGCAATACTTTTGTAAGTGAGAACGTTAGTGTGAACGTTAGTGAGAACGTTTATTTTTTACAGTAGTGAAGTCGTTAGCGAAGTCGTTAGTGAGGTGAAGTGGTTGGTGGCTTTGTAAATATTTAAGGTTAAGTTAGTGTTGTCGTTTGTGTTGTAAAATATATGTTAGCAGTTTTGTAAAGTGTCAAACCGTTATCATGGGTAAGGTGGAACGCAGTGCCGCCGTACCCAAGATAGGGATACTAACTTCTTCAGATCAAATGAAAACAATTCAGGAAAAAGGAAATAAAAAGATCAAAGGTATTCAAAAGTACGATGATAATCAATTCAAGTCAACTCAATTATTTAAGGGTATCAAAGAACAAGAGTCACCAAAAGATTTAATTTATTTCGATGTCGATAATTACAACAAACCAAAGAAATTAATCTTTTATTATGCTTCTTTCAAATTTCTGGACATAATCAAAATTGTGAAAGAGCATTTTATTGATGCAACCCATTCATTACTTGAATTTAAAATGTTGTTTTACATGATATCAGCCAAATTTCCAAATACACATGCATTCCCAATTTTTCAATTTGTTGTTTATCCAAACACTTCAGAAAATATTGCATTCTGTCTCAAGGCATTTTTTAACTGGGCAAAAGTAAAACCAAAATATTTTATGTCAGATTGTGCACAAGAAATCGAAAATGCGATTATCAACTCTTTTCCAGAAGTTATCCTTCATTGGTGTGCAGTTCATGTAATGAGGGCGTTCAGAAAAAATTTGAAAGATTATGCATTTGAGAGTTCAGACAAATTGATATTAGATACAAAAATGAACTATCTTGCATACGGCAGAAATGGCAAGAAAGAATGGATTGAACCAACGTTCAAAAAAATTCTGGAAATAGCCGAAAAATTCCCAGAATTTTCAAAATACATACAAAATCAATGGATATCAAACCAAGAAAGATGGACAGCCGCTGAAAGAGATGAAAATTTAGCTCTCACAAATAACATTTCAGAATCGATTAACAAAAAAATTAAATATTACTACTTTGGCGGAACAATTTTCATGAGATTGTGATCGATTTGTGATGAATTAATCGATTTTATCGTTCCTTCATTTTATTACAGAATTTCTCAAGATATAAGGCTCAGAGACAAAATTCCAAATCCGTTGCCATCTGAAAAAAAGCCAAAAAAGTCTACAATCAGACTGGATACAGAAAAATTTATAATGCTCACTGATAAAATTAAATCGTTAATAGTTAACTCATCAGCAAACTTAAATACGCTTCAATTGGGTTTAGATGACCTACTTGATAAAGTTGTCAAGGCAGCAAAGGTTCAAAAACGAATGACCCAGTATTTTTCGAAATTAAGTATCCCAATGGAAATCAAGCTTAGTATTCTCACGCAAATTACAGAATTTGGATGCAATACCCCTCAATTCGTTGTTGAGAATGCCAAGTCTTTTCAAGATAAAATTATTACAGATTTCCACCTTCAAATTTATACAACATTATAAAAATTTATGAATAAAAACTTGATATAAAATAACATTTTTATTTTTACTAAGAAAAAAAGGTTTTGATAATAAATTTATTTTATTTCGAAAAAAGTAGCAATAATCGTAAAAGGGTATTGATAGGCTTGCTAAAGTAACTAATTTTAGCTGTCAAATACTTTTGTATTTTGAAGTAAATTAGTATAAATTTGATATTATTTTAACTCCCTTTGAAAACCTCAATTTTTCATACAGAGGGAACGGGAATAGCATCCAATATTCCCTGAGAATGGTTGCACATTCTCAGTTCCCTCTATATTTCGAACGAAGCTCTCATCGGTCTTTTTTTAATACTAAACGTTTTTTTTCTGTCACTTTTAGCTAAAATTTGGGTTTGCCGAAGGCACTTGAGTTGGGTTTTTGACTTCGCTAAAAAATTTACTCAAAATACACAAAAAATTAAATAATTTGAAGTTATAAATCGAATAAAATTATGCATGAGGAGCTATTAAATAAAGTTGTGTATGAGAATATTACACTTAGATTAATAGAAATCGAGTTATAATTCAATAATTATGATGCCTTACGAAAATTATAATTTTGTCACTTTTCCAGGCAAAAATGATAATAAAAAATCGTACAGATTTTTCTCTAATATATTATTTTCCGCCAGCATACCCAACTATATATCTTTTATTTATATATATATCAGCAATATATCTTGCATATCTATATCTTCAACAATATTTTCTATCATGTTGATTCCTATTACAGAAGGATCAATTTAATTCTGATGACAAGAATTTTTGATTCGGATAAAGTAAACTTTAAACTCGGCAATTCCAATTCCAAAAAGTGTCATATTCTAAATTATAGTTTATTCGGATTAACACATACTGTTAATAATTAAAAAGTTGATTTTATAAAATTACTGGAATAAAGGACATTGTTATATCATAAAGAATCAAAAATGGATAATATATCTTTCAAAACACAAGGAGATATCAGTATCCACTATTCAGGATTTAAATTCGAAAGAACAGTTATTGATGATGGAAAACATGAAATGAAATCTCCAAATGGTACATTCGAAATCGGACATCTTGGAAATGGATTTGTTCGAATCACAACAATATTTGACATATCAGAAATTTTGTGGACATGTGAATAATAATTTGTCACTTATAGCATATCTACCTAATTGTTTCAATTAAAAGAATTTTTACAATAAAAATAGAACAAGTTGCAGAGATAATTTCGATGATTGACTAATTTGTCACTTTTTTTCAAATCATAATAATAGGAGAAGAAGAAAATTCAGATAATTTCTTCTCGCTCTTTGTCGGCCAAGCACCACAGCTACACCACACTAGAGCAGAGTTTTTTCGAAGCCTCTTATCAAATGAGAGACTTCTAGTAAAAGTACATTCTCTTATCTCTTGTAGGTAGATATGCTATAAGTGATTGTATAAGTTATGATAGATTGTTGTAAGTTTGAAAGAATAGTCAAAGATTAAAAAAAAACTAAAAATACAGAGAAATGTATAGAATCAGTGGGGAAAATTGAATTATTTTTTATTTATAATCGAATCAATCTTCGAAAATATCAAAAAATAAAGAATATTATCTTATGTAAGAACATTATTTTTTGGCACCATGTGAAATAAGAAGTTCGGCTGTTTCTTTATTATTATTCCATGCTGCAATATGAAGTGCGGTTTCTCCATTTTGATCCTTTTCATTGACATTCGCACCATGTGAAATAAGAACTTCTGCAATTTCTTTACTATTTGCATATGCTGCATCATGAAGTGCGGTTTCTCCATTTTGATCCTTTTCATTGATATTCGCACCATGTGAAATAAGAACTTCTGCAATTTCTTTACTATTTGCATATGCTGCAATATGAAGTGCGGTTTCTCTATATTCATTTTTTTTCATTGACATTTGCACCATGTGAAAGGAAGTATTCGGTAAGGGATGTAATACCAATAATAGGTGAATAAATAAAACATTTGTTTATATCATTAGTTTGATCGAAATAAACTAAAAAGGATTCAAGATTTTTGTAAAATTTACAAATTTCTAAATTGATCTCTAAATTGTATTCATTCATCAAGAATGTGACAAAATCAATGTTGTATGAAATAATTGCAAATCCCATGCAATAATTGTTTGGTTTTCGATATTTCAAACATTCACTCATGATCTCTTTGTTTCCACCTAAAAATGAAAAATTTAGACATTTTTCAGTTATTTCTGAGTTGAATTTAGTTCTTAAGAACTTGAAACAATCAACTGCTCCATGATAACAACATAATTCAAGTAATGAATATCCTTCATGAGAATATGGATATAATTCGCTTTTAAGTTTTTGATCTTTATCAAATCCATCGATTCCAGTGAATGTGATGAATCTTTCTAAGTCATTATTCATAATTGCTCTGTATATTGTATTTTCTGTGTGAATATCAAGATTTTCAAAATCATCTTTTTCGAAATCAAAAAATTTGTCTATTTTAATTCCATATTCTTTATAAAACAGGATGCTTTGGGTAAATGTGAGATCGTTGACTTCTTCAACATGATATTCATCATAAAAGAGTTTGGCAAGAAATAAATATGACTTTGTATAGCGATTGTTATACGGAATGATATTTAAAATGTCTGCCATAATATCTTTGGGTGGATGTTTATTGGAATCAATCAATTCTGTTTTGATCATTTTGAAAATCAAATTTAATTCTTCTTCTTTTTCACTTTTCAACTGATACAACACGTTGTATATATCAATATAGGATTTGTAGATGTTTCTTAGTTCACTGTATTTGCTTGGATGAATAGTAGTATATGTTGAAGGGTTTTGTGACTTTTTTTGTAAACGTAAGAATTCATACATTTTTGAGCGATTTTGTATCATTTTTTTTTACATATGAAGTAAAAAATGTATGATTTTTACGGTTTTTATTCTTACGTTTTTGAATAAATCAAGATTTAAAAATTTTCAGAATCGTAAGAAATTTTCACTAAACCCATACATAATGAAATAAAAAAAATAAAAAAAATAAAAAAATAAACTTTAAAAATTCATGTCTTACATTTTTTGAATAATTTATTTTTTTAATTCGTATGAAAATGAGTGAATCAAAATTCGTGACTGTGAATCAATTAATGAATAAACTTTCACCAATTCTCACCCATGTTAAACAAGTAGACGTTTATTTTGATGATTGCATAGAAAGTTTATTTTATAAAGGTAAGTTTAATATTAAACCTATTGCTTTTGCATTTGATGGTAAATTAATCGAAAATTCAAAAATTTGGGAATTAATTCTGGATATTGAATTTATAACAAATATTAAGGATAAGTGGTTTAAACAACAAAACCTTTTCACTAAAGTTCTTTGTAGATTAATGATTAAAACTGAGGAAAAAGAATTTAACGGATTTAAATATCATCCATGTAAAATTTTAGAACTTGGTAACGAAAAACTTCAGAAAAAATTAAACGAAAGACTATCAAAAGATAAAGTTGAAAGAGTAAATAAACTCACTAAAGGTAATGATGATGAAGATGAATTTGATGAGTTCAACATTGAACTTTAAGAAACTAATGATTATTTGAATTTATGAAATCAATTATTTGATTCATTCTTTCTTCAATCTTTCTATTCTTTTTGTTAAATCATCTATTTTCATTAATGAGGTGATTCTTGATTGAGGAATAGATTTTAAACTAACAACACCTTTTATTTTTGAAATTTTGAATCCATGACCCTCCGGGTCTTGGACTCTGTCCTCAACTTTAAACATTTTATTCAATTTACATGTTGTCAATTCTTCAAATAATTTTTTATTATTAGCATAATAATCATTAAATTCTTCAACAGATGAAAAAATTTTTATTTCAGTAATTGGTTTAACAACGTTTATTTTTTGTTGAACATTTTCACTTTCATTTATTTCTTCCTCCTCTGTTTCATTTATTTTTAAAATCGGTTTCATTTATCATTAAATAAAAATTAGAATATAAGTGATGAAATATATTTTTTAATTAATATTAAATCAGAGATGGCGGCAGGATTCTTTAAAAAATTATGGGAAGGAATTAAGAAAGCTGCAAGTTGGGTTCATCAAAAATTATTAAACCCGTTGCAAACTTTTTGGCACCAGTAGCGAAAACGGCAGGAACTATCATAGGAGGAGTATTAGGTGCTAAAGCAGGTAATCCGCGATGGGAGCACAAGCAGGTAACGCAGTTGGTGGAATTGCTGAAGGAATACTTAATAAAATAGGAGGAATAGTGGAAAAATAAATATTATTTTTATCTTAGTATCGGTTGTAGTCGATAAACCTTATCTCCTTTATTTAATACTTCCTTACCGGAACATTTGCTATTTGTTCAGCAACGTCACTAATTGCTTCTTTATTCTTAAATATCCAATTTGCTCCTTTCTTATTTTTCCCAAACTTTATGCGCTCCTCTTTTTACTTTATCCCACAGTTTCTTAAAGAATCCTGCAGCCATAGTTGATTATTTCATTAAAATTAAAAATTCATTTTCATCTTTTAATTTTGATTTTTTATTTAATAATAAATGACGACTAACTATTTAGTGCCAAACACTAAACCGATTAATGGAAATGTATTTCATTCATTCGAAAAGATAAATGAAATATTCGCAAAGAATGACGGAGAAGATATTATAGAGAACTTGAAAGTTCATGCTATGACTCTGATGCTCCATATTTTGATGATAAACAAACTCATTTAAGAATTACAAATCCGGCTCATGATGTGAACCAATTAGGTGACACATATATTAAACGCAAAGTTAAAGCAACTCTAGTTTCAAATAAAGCTTTCACATGTGATGCCGCTTTTAAATGCATGCGTTTATTCGTTGGTTACAAATCATCAAATCAAAGCTTTAAGCAATTAGAAGTAGAAACCGAAAGAGGTGATGCTGGTTATCTTCAGATGGATTGCGCCCGTGAATCTTTCGCATTTGCAACATATAAACCAAAATCAGAAAGGAAAGTTAAAAAGTTTGTTCATTCGTTATATAATAATGTTCAAAAATATGATAACTCAGTATGTGGTAAATATATTGACCCTTCAGAAGTTTTCAAGAAAGCAAATGAAGAAGTTGATGTCACTTTTGATATGATTATTCCGGTAAATGATTTGTTAGCATTTCAGGCGTTCGATGATTATCCTAAATCATTTGGTGAAATCATTCTTAAATATTATGTTTTCAGGGATACTTTAGTATTTTGTCAGGTTGACCCGTTAAGAGTTGCTGATTTACAAAATTACGTTTATGAAAAGATAACTGATGAAAATTATGAAAAGATTATGAATCATGTTTATAAATATGATCGCAAATTCCAACAAATCGGACTTCCTGCCAAATTAATTACAAGCTTAGCCGCTACATCTGCTGACGCAACAGTTGAAGACGTTATTATTTCATGCACAAAGATGGAAGTTTTAGAGGATAAATGCATTACACCAGGATACGGTTTAATTGAAGAATCAGTTAAAGCAATACCACGTTTTATTTAGTAAGGAAGATCCATTCATGATTCCAGCTCAACATATTGACGTTCGTTCACTAAATGGAGGTTGCATCACTCCTGAAGGTATCAGCTCAGATTTCTCATACGCTCTTCATAATGTTACAGATGTTGTGTTAACATTTCCGAAGAATGCAATGCAAAGAACAGTTTTAGAAAATCCAATGCTTCGAGGTCTTCAGGTCACTATAGATTCCAGAAACTTCCCCGATCAAGCGATGACCACAGTGGGCGACATATTCTTTACACGTATGCTTCAAGCTTCTGATTTAGATGGAGTGAATGAATGCACAGAAGAATACGAGGACTCATTAACTAGACCACTGAATGATGATGATGGCGCCATTAGCTAGAACATGGAAAGACCAAACTTCATTCTTATGCACTATTCCAGTTCAACGTGATGGAGCGGGTATATTCTTTGATGGATTAGAAACTTTCAACTCACAAGTTACAGTACAAGTGAAAGCTTATCCAATCATTCAGGGTGAAAACACTTACTGTTCAAAGGTGACAAATCCTCCTCAGGTTTGGTTTACTAGGACTACATATTGGACATGGACACCGGATGAAGGTTTGAAATATCATCCAACAGGTACACCACCACAGTATAGAAGTTCATATGATGAAATATTGATGAATAGAAATGTTTAAAATTATAAATTTATTTTTGATTAAATGGATTTAAATTCATCCACCCCTTATGAAGAATTAGCAGGAGTATATAATACATACGTAGATGATATGATTAATGAAGCATTGAGTGATAATAGAAATGCTCTATCTAAGGAAAAATTAATGAAAATTCCATATTCTGAATGTTACTTAAATTCAATCACTGCAGCAATTGGTAAACAAAATAAAGGTAAAACATTAACGATATTAAAACAAATTATCATTATTGCTAACACTTCACCCTATTCACATGTGTTAATTATATCAACCGTTCAGGTTCACCTTCAGATGATACATTTGAATCTTTAAAGCATTTATCAAAATTCCAATTATTTATTTATCACAAGAAGAAGCAGAAGATTATTTAAAAAACTTTGTAATGTATAAAGAATTATATAATACAATCAAGAAGCAAGGATTAGAGGATAAAATTATTGATAAACAACGGGATGAATTATTTGAAACACTTTCTATTTCAAATTTTGATAGAGAATTTTTGCATTCACTCATTTTTCTAGATGATGCAGTGAAATCAAAAACTAATAAACAATGAGAAATCATATTTTAATCAGTTATTAACTCAATGTCGACACATTCAGTGTTCATTCTTCATGGCTGTTCAATACTTTCAAAGCATTAAGCACAAACATTAAATCAAACCTGTCCACCCTTTTCATTTTCAGTGGGTTTAGTCGTCAACAGTTGAACGTTATGCTTTATCAAGTGAATTTACCAATGAGCATTAATGAACTTTACACACAATATCAACAATTAGGAGAACATGGAAAAATAATAGTTGATTTAAATAAAGGTTCCATTAAATTTGATTAACTTTTTATAATTAATTTTTATTTTTTATTTATAATTAAACATGACAGAAATTGCAAATCTTCTACAGGTTCCATTAAAACAAGGAACAAACAAAAAGGGTGCATATAATAGAACTATGAAAGTTCCAGACGGAATGAAAGAATTAGTTCATATTGTTGCCGGTCTTCAAAAGGATGTTAAACAAATGAGAAACGTTTTAACATTACCAGAAGCTCAAGCATATGCCAAACGTCACGGACCAAATTGGGAAGCACACGAAGCAGACATTACGGGTCCAAATGGAAAACCTGATGGAATAAATGAAGTTTTCGTTACTGATGGTCAAGGAAATATTAAAGTCATAAATGGGTATAAATTAACAATGACGGATTATCCTAAACGTAAAGCATATAATGAACATTATCCTATGCAATTTGATGAAAATGGAAAAGCTGTTAAACAATACATTGGAGAAGGTGAAAATGGTCCAATTAATTCATACCGTCATAATCCATATTCTTACTTCAATGAAGAATTAAATGCTATTGAAGAGGGACCGGATGGATTACCACGATATTCTAACCAGTTTGATGGTCAATATGCAAATTTGAGATTTCTGAAATTCCAGCTAAGAAATTCTTTAAAGTTGCTTTATTCGATCCAGTTTTCGCAAATGTTAAAGATGAACTTAAACAGCAATTCCAACCAATTATAGTAGCAAGAATTGCATCAGGTGCTTTATCTCAAGCATTCAAAGATTTAATTAAGAAACCATTATATCAGCAACGAGGTTTAACTTATGATTTAGTTAAGGAATCAGATAAAAGAAAATTTGAGAAATCAAATAATTATAAGAATGCAATTAATGAATATATTAGGTCTATTAATTTCGATGAAAATGCTAAAAATCAACTTCATGAACAAATACAGGAAATAATAGATTCAAAAGTTCCAGCAAAATAAAAGTTTAAATATATTTTTTTATTCGAATATAAATGAGAAGACGTTTCACTAGTCAAAAGAACACTAACGCAAAAGCAGAGATTACGGTTGGTTATAATGTAAATGATGATAAATCACGAATTATTCAAAATGTTAAAGTTAATGTTAGTCCTGAATTAACAAGGTCAGCAACTCAACCAAATTTATTAACTCGTGACTTACCGAAGAATGAGGAGAGCAAAATAAAGAAGATGGAGACCCAATCATTTATCTGAACCGGTAAAGAACCTGTTGAAATCCCACTTATCCAACATACCAGCCACTTGATAACCCAGGAATCTACGATTCCAGTCGCAATGCGCCATATAAAATAGACATTAATTCTGAATTAATGAAAATATATCGTGATATAATAATTAATAATTATGATTCAATAATAAATTTAATTGACCAATCTGGTTTAATTATTTTACCTTATGAATCATTAATTCACATTATCGCCATTCTTTGTGATGTTCAGGATTCAGACGTTAAGATTCAATTTTTCATAGATGATGAGGTTTCATGCTGCGGAACAGTTGCAAAAATAAATCCTATAAAGGATATTAGCACAATTAAGATATCAAAGAACGGAACAACAACTGAACTTCATTTAACATATAATGATATTTATAATAAAATAGTTGATGAATATAAAATATCACTTGAAAAATTCTTTGTTAAGGCTATTTAATATTCAAGCATTAACATTATTGAATAATAATCCTTTGAATCATAATCGATAATAATTGACCTTTCACCAGTTTCTATCGTTTGTTTTATTTCTTTTTGTTCCCCACTATCTGGATCGGTCATTGTAATTGTTTTTGTTATAGTATCAGCTTTATCTTTAACTTCAATCTTTTTTCCATCGGGATATTTAAACCAAAATTCCAAAAATTCGATATTGTCAATCTGTTCATATTTTAATCTATCAATTACATTTTTAATACCATCTGAAAATCTTATGAAATGGTCATTATATGGGTTTGATTGAACTAAATTTGAATGAAGTGAAATATAACCTGATGATGAATATGACATCGACTCATATTTTCTGAAAACACTAAAATTTATAACATGAATGAATTTCTTATTCGTTGAATTTATGAATTCTTGAGGTAATCTTATTCTAGTTTTATTTATCACTGGAAAATAACGCTTTACCATATTTTTAATCGTAATAAAAAAATGTCAATTATCAATATTATTTCGAATAATAATTGTGAATTAAATTTAACAGTTAGTGGAATTTATAATGTTACTCTCGTTTCTGTGAGTGGTAAATTTAATCCCATTCTTTTAAACCCTTCAGATTATATATCATTTATTAAAGATGACCATGAAAAAACGTATGATATGTATATAAATAATGTGATAACGAAATGGGATATTAACATGATTTTAAGTTATTTAAATGAATCATTTATCATATGGTATGAAGAAAATTTTAAATCAAAACCTGATAAACTTTTTGAACTTGATGAAATAAATAATCTTATTAAATTTCCGCTGAAAATTAAATTTTGTACTCCTCGTCTTCGTTCATTGTTGGGGATATTAAATTTTGAAAAAGATGTTGGGGATGTTTTGTATTCTGACACTGGTTCTAATTTCATTTTAATCAAATGTGATAAAGTTAATACCCCAATGAGATTTTCACATCAAACATTAGACCCTAACTCTTACCCATCAATACAAAACATTTTATCCATCAACTTAAACACATTTTCTTTATCATACCCGTTTCAATTATCCGGGAATTCATTTATTCTTCATTCAAAAGATTTATCAAATATTAAATTTAGAATAACTGACCTATTTGATTGTGATTTAGAATTTATGAATGAAATATTATGGCAATTTCAAATAGAAAAAATAGCTGATGAGATAACGGATTAAATATTTATTTTTAAATCGTAATAAATGATTAAACAACAACAACCACAGACCATTACATACGCCACATATGCATATAATTCAAAGACGGCAGAACAAACACAAAGGTTGAAATATGGAGATTTGGAGATAGTATTGAAAAATGACCATTTTGAATTCGTTTGCAAAGGTGGTGCAGTGATATCAAATATAAAAGAAATTTTATTTATGAATTCAAAAATTAAAGGTATAACGGATGATATAACATCAATTCCACCAGAAGAACAAAGATATTACGCATTAAATGCATTTCCTAAAGTTTTGAAGATTGGAAGATTTAATTTAAATGAGGAATTCATAAAAGGTTTCCTAAATGACATAATGAAGAAAGCAGATAAGGAATACGTTCATACTGAGTTCGCATATGTGGCAAGTGTGTTAGTGAAGAAGGCATATAAGGAATATGTGGATGAAAAAGATAATGAAATTATAAAAAGGGTTGAATGGTACCATGAACGGACATCGAAGATTTTAGAAGGTAAAGCCAATACAGGGTGGGTTTCAGGATGTTTAGACCTTAAAGCGGATAAAACTTATGTTAACGATGAGTTAAATAAGAAGGCAGATAAAACATATGTTAACGATGAGTTAAATAAGAAGTCAGATAAAACATATGTTAACGATGAGTTAAATAAGAAGGCAGATAAGGAATATGTTAACGATGAGTTAGGGAAGAAGGCAGATAAAACATATGTTAACGATGAGTTAAATAAGAAGGCAGATAAGGAATATGTTAACGATGAGTTAGGGAAGAAGGCAGATAAGGAATACGTTAACGATGAGTTAAATAAGAAGTCAGATAAAACATATGTTAACGATGAGTTAAATAAGAAGTCAGATAAAACATATGTTAACGATGAGTTAGGGAAGAAGGCAGATAAGGAATACGTTAACGAAATATACCAAAGTTTGATAGGAACAAAAAATATTGAAACTATTGTTGGCGACTTTTCTGTCAATGAAGAAAATAAATATTTTAGATGGGAGTTTGTACAGTCCTTAAGAAATGGTATACGGTATAAACTCATTCCGAAAAATAACAATGAAATGTATGTAGGCTATATAAAGAATAATGGCACACAAGTTAAAGTTCCATTAGACAACAACTGCTACTTAAACTTATATGGAGACGAACAAAAGAAATATTTAAGAGTTTATGAAATGGTAGATATGACATTACCTGACCCAGCACCAGCACCATATTATTATGACTATGGTGTTGACGAAAGAACACTACACGCAGATGAACAAAAGCAAACATTATATTTAGATTTTTATAGATATAAAAGATATAATGCAATAGAAAAAACGAGAATAGTATATTATTATACAGATGACAGAAATAAATATTATAGTCAAGATTTTACCTACCCTGAAAACATAAGATTATATTATAAAAAATATTCTGACACAAACAAAAAGAAACCTGAAATAGTTACACTATATTTTAAGTTCAAAAGAGACAATCCTATAATATCTCATATGTTTGATTTAATGAACCCAGTAGGTTCTATTTATACATCTATGGATGCAAGAGGTCCTCAAGTAATGTTTGGTGTTGGTGCATGGGAACAAATAGTTGACAGGTTTTTGTATTGTGCAAACTCTTCAAAGGAAACCGGTGGAAGTAAAACAATTACGGGTGAAAATTTACCTGCACATAGTCACTACGTTAATTTAAGCACATCTCAAGCAGGTTGGCATAAGCATAGATATTGGGATTGGTCAGGAATGACAAAAGGTAAAGGATATGATGTTAAAGACGACGTTAAATTTGCCATAAATTGTTACTGGAGTGACACTCAGGGAGAAGGAAACCATACACATAATGTTTCAGGATATACACAAACGACGGGACAGAGTAAAGATTACATGCCACCATTTATGACAGTTTATGCATGGTATAGAGTTCAATGAATGCTCAATGTTTGTGAAACAAACTTTAGGAGCTCCAAAAGAGTGAACGGCATAATTTAAATTTTTATTTTAGTATAAATGAAGATTCTACCATATGGTGTTATTGGAAGAGATAAAGAAGGAAACCCAATATTTGATCCAAAGTTAAAATTAAAGTTACTGACAAGACAACAACTTGAAAAGTTATTGAAACCAAAACAGGATGAGAAAATGAGAAAGAAAAAAATTTAAATTATGTAATTTTATTTTTATCATAAATGACAACATTAATTAAGCCAACTATTTCTAAATTAATGTTACCAATGAAATCATTTCATGGAGTACTTATCCCAGGTTCTTCACAATTAGCCGGGGTAAGTGTTGGGACTCAAGGTGGAACATTAGTGAATCCATTCAAATTATTAACTAAAGATGAAGTTAATAAAATGATGATAAAATAACTGATAACAAAATTTTATTTCAGTGCTACCATAAAAACAGGTGAAATCTCACCTCTTCACCTCAATTATATTTTTGGTCAAAGCTTCCACGAGAGAAAAGATTCCTCATTCGCTAAGGATTCCAAAAATGAAAAAATCATTGATTTCGGCTGAGAAAAAACAGCAAAACCCTTCTTCCACGGGAACAAAGAAATAAAGAAGAAATAAAGAAGAAATAAAGTAAATTTTTTATTTATTCCCGTGGAAGATAGAGCACTTTTATGACATTTTTGATTCACGACAAACAAGACAAACAAAGAAAATGAGAAAATGAGAAAATACGGCGCCGTCGCGGTTCGAACCACAGACCTTGACCCCTCCATAACACCACCTTAGACCACTGTGCTACGTAGCCTGTCGACATAAGATTTTATAAATTACATATTTGACGTAAATTTATTTCCCAGTCATTCAATAATTAATTATTTTTGAATAACTACCTTCCTCCTGTGTTGTTGTCTAAATGTCATGACCTTCAGGTCTCGTCACACAGTGACTGTTGTCACAAACTTTAGAACGGCATAATTTAAATTTTTATTTTTATCATAAATGAATACCCCACAAGCTCAAAATTTACCACGAATCATAACAAGGGAGGAAATGATAAAAATGATGCAAGAACATGTTAAAAATAACAAACCACTAAAATTGAGAAAATGTGGTTATGCAGTAATGATGGAAAGAGAGATGTTGTCGAAGAGGAATAAAAATTAAATTTGGATAGAGTTTAAAAATTCATCTTTATTAAATTCATCTCTTCCAATCAATTTATTTATTCTATTAAAATTCTTTTATTTTTGTTCACTCAGTTTAAGGATTGAACGGTAAGTTTCTAATTTTCGATTATTTCTTTATTGTTTCAACCCCACCACATTGCGGCTTCTTTTTGTAATAGCATATTTTTGATTTAATTCTGTTTAGTTCTTTTTATATTCATTGTCTGGACTCTTGACTGCTTCGTTGTTTACTCATTTCTTACGAAATAAAAAAAATTAAATATTATTTAAATATAATGAGTAATAAAATAAATCGGAATTTCTATTAATTTATTGTTCAACTTCAACTAATGCATTGCCGTTAATATATCTAACAAATTCAGCTATTGTGCAAATCTTCGTCTTCTTTTTGTCATTGATTTATCAGTTTTTCCATAATCGAGATGAATCAAAAACTTTATCCCCTTGTTTAAAATTCATGAGCCCTGAATTAATTTGTTCACGTTTAACATCATTCAACCTTTCCATTTGCTTTCTAATATATCCCATTCTTTTGAAATATCATTTTTCATTTCCACCGGTTTCATGTTTATTGTTCTATGCCATGTATTATTGTAATAATATACTAACTGTTGTATGATGGAGTCATGATTTCCATCCCAGTATATCTGACCATTAACCCCTAACGCATCTCTAAGAGTTCTCATTACCCATCAACTATTTTATTATGAAACGTATATGGAGAGGATGAAAAGTAAAAATTAATTTGTGGGAAATAATGAGTCATAGCTGCCTGAAATCCTTTATCACCATCACCCCTTATATTATCTACTCTTTCATGATCTAGTAAGTATTGAATAGCTCTTCTTGTTTCCTGTTCTGTTTTCCCTTTCACCGGAATGCAATATAAATATCTGGTGTTAATGTTAATGGCAAATAAATAAGTAACGTTTCCTTTTGAATATTCTAAATGATCAATTTCGTATGAATATGGATATAGTGCAAATGAAGGGCGACTAAATTTTTCCTTTAACGGTTGAATTTTTGGGTCAGTTGGTTTATTTAATATTTTGAAATCCTTTTTAAAATCTTTTTGCTTCTTTAATGTTTGAAATGGATATAATAAAGTGAATGATGAAGGATTAACTGAAGGAGGAGGTACTACTGTCGTTGGAGGTTTTGGTGTTGTAAGTGGTTTAATTTTATCTGCTTTGATTTTGGATGATGAAGTTTTGGAATTCATTCCTTCCTTCATTAATTCTGGATGTATTCTATTCATTTGTTTTAAATATGCTGTATATAAAGGTTTAATATACTTTCCCGCTTCGAGTTTATGTTGAAGGATGAATTCCAAAAGTTGATCTTCATTTAAAAGTCGGGCTGAATATGGTTTAACTAATGAATCATAAATTAAAGCTTGTGCATCATTTATGGTCTGAAGGACCTGGGCGTTTTGCACCTTTTGTTTTTGCTCCTTTTGCTTTTGCGGCTCAGGATTATATAATTTATATAATTCATCAATATCTTCTTCTGTTAATACTTTATTTTTGAAATCTTTCAACTGTTTAAGTTGTGATTTAGTTTTTCCCTTTGTATATTTTTCTTCTTTAATGTTCTCTCTTAAACGTTTAATTATTTTATCATGATATTTCAAAATTTCATTTTTATAATACTGATAGTATTCACCCATATCATCACCTGTAATTGTTTCATCATATTTTTGGAGATATGATTTTAATTCATAATAACTAAGAAATTTTTGATTAAGTACTAAATCATCAATTAAATTTTCTAAATCTACGCTATTCATTTATATAAAAATAAAATAAATGTTTAAGGGTGCCCACCTCTTTGTCTCTTCTATGACATTTCATTAAATAAATGGCATACAACATCCATTTTCACAACATACAGCCTTAGTGTGTGCTCCTGTTAATGCAGTCTTACCAATTGTTAAGCGAGTCATTGACCCATTTTTAAGTTGTAAATTAATATTCTGACCATCAAATATCACTTTATCATTTATTATATCCAAATAATTTTTAGGTGTTAATTGTTTATTTTGTCTTAAACTAACACCTTTCATTTTTTGTGCAATCTTTTTAAAATCACTTCCATCAATTGAACCGTTGAATGATGTATAACACTTAGGACATAAAGCAACCATGTTATCACCTTGTTTCTCAATTGCTAAACCCAATAATTTTTTCTCATGTGCTTTTTCTTCAGCTTTATTCTTTAATTTAGGTTTAAATTTCTCATTAAAACAAAAGAAATCAAAAGGTGCGAATTTGTAAATGTTTTTATCATAAAATTGTTTATCAGTAACAATTGCTTGAAATGCTTGAGTGTTAGGAAGACTTGGATCGCCAGCGATTGCCCAATAAGATGAATCAGTATCACCTTCAATGAAATGAAAACGATTAATATCCATGCATTTATACATAAAATCATAAATGAAAACCAAATACCAGTATTTAGCATTATCTAAAGTGAAGAATGCCTCTTGTAAACATGTATCACATCTATAAAATCTATCTTTAAGCATCACTTGATACGTATCTTCACCTATTTCTCTTATGTTTTTAAACTTATTTGACATACATGCAACGCGTGCCTTCTGTGCATTCATTATTTTAGTCTTTGCGTAATTTTGTGTATTCATTGCATCGTAACCATATGATCCATTAAGTGAAATCTTGCAAAATAAACTTTTTCCTTTATTTCCTTCTAATTCAGCCTTTTGTCTTTCGTTCATAAATTCGTTCGCAAATTCATTAAAACAAGTGTTTTTCGTAAATGTTAAAATTGATTGAATATCATCGATGATAAAATGAAATCTGTCTATTAGATACCAAAGATAATAAGAAGAAAATGGTTGATATTGGTTGTGTGTTGATGCTAACTGAGTTAATTTTCTCTGTTTCTGGTCAACCGGTAGATTGTTTGATTTCATGTAATTATACATAAAACCACCAATTGTTTTTTCATCTGTGATAATATCTAAGTTTCTTATTATTGGTAAAAAGTTTATGTAATCATTAATGTATTTTTCATCAATGTGACCCTTTACTTCAGCCACGAATAAAGTATTTTTCTTCTTAATAATTCCCAGTGCTTTTGCTTTCTTTGTTGCTGTATCACAAATGATAACACCATTCAATCTTCCCGGCATATACATTTTATGGTCAGTATATTGAATGAAATCATGAGGATTAGATGAAAATGATGAAGGATATAATGAATTAAAGTCAACACCAACGAAATGAGTCATGATGTTGGTGGTGTCCTCATTTGATACAGTTTTAGTTTCTGGCTTATATGAAAGTTTATTAATGTGTGTGATTCCTTTAAGATTAACTCTATGTTGAACATTTGATAAACCACCAGTAATTCCATTACGGAGGATGTGATACGCTTCAACCGAATCTAAAGTCATTGGTAAATTATTTTTTAATGTATAATTTCTTAAATTAATTCTTAAACGTTGAACATCCTCATCTTTATTTGATTTTACGACATTGCAATAACAACACATTAACTGACAATTTTCTTTGGTATGTGGTTTTTCATTATCGATTCTATCTAATGTTGGTTTATTTGCATATGTAAACGCTTTACCACACATTTTGCATTTAGATGAAAGGATTAAATCGTGATAGTATTGATAGTCATCCATTGAAACATTGTTTTTAGTATCCCTTTCTGCTTTTTCATCTTGTTTCTTATATGATTCAATTTTATATTTCCAATACTTTTTCGTTAATTCAAAACTTGATTCCACATTTTCTTCTTCTGGATATGTTTCGTTAGGATTAAAGTCTTTATATGCTAAAGCGTAACGAATCATTGATGCATTCGATGATAATGAAAGATTATGGAGCATGTCAATTTTATAAACAAATGTTTCTTCAATAATTTTATCAATTGGGTCAATCATAATTTCAACATCTTTATTGCAATAATGAATAAAATATTCTAATCTATTCTCAAAATTTTTAGCATCATTGAGATATATTTGATAATCTGAATCGGATATTGTTTCTTGTGTTAATGCTGAATAAAATGAATCTTTCGTGAATGGTTCCTTTTTATATAATTCTTCTTCGTAATTCTCCCATGTGATGAATTGATATGGGAAGAATGATTTAACACGTGATTTATTGTTTCCGAAATCTTGAGTAAATTGGTCTAATGTTCCACCCGCTATATAATTTCTGATGTCAATAAATCTTAATTCATATGGACAGTTTGTTTTCTTTACAATGATTTGCTTAAATTGAGAAGAAGAACCCAGCATTGATTTTATTTTCCATTTTGCAGTGTTTAAATCACGAAGAATTAAATTTAAATCAAACTTTCCCGAATTAAAACCTATGATATTCACTTTATTGAATTCCTCATCTAGAAGTTCTTTAAATGCTTCCTTCTGTTTTTCATTTAATGTATGGGACAAAGTCCCCGCCGTTTGGTCCGTTTGCGGCTTCATTAATTCTTCATATTGTTCAATATTTGATTTAGCAACTAATGAACAGGTTGAAAATAAAAATTCAATCCAATCAGAGATGAACGAATCACTTGATGTTAAGCAAAAATTCCTCGTAAATGTTTTATCACGGTCTACGACCTCGCCGCTTCGGTCTGAAAGACCTTCAGGACTCAAAGAGTCCGTTTGCGGCTTTATTTTGACAGTTGATGATACCATAAATGGTTTTAAGTAAGCGTTCAAAGTTGCACATTCAGAAAGTTGAAGTTCTTCTTTAGTCTCTAATGTTTCGAAGTCAAAAGTAATATAATATCTTGTTGGTTTATAATATTCCTGCAAATTGTGAGCTAATAGCCATTGATATATCTTCTGTTTCGTGATATGTGGTGCATATGGTTGTTGTGTGTTTTGCAATTGAACGTCTTGAATTAATCTTCCATTATTTTCTTTACATTTCTCACAATGTTTTAAAAATCTTCTTTGGTTTTTCCTTTCTGGGTCATCACGGATAGAATATACTTCTTCTTTGCAAAAGGGGCAAACTTTATATCCTGTGAGTGCTTCAACGTCTGTAATTCTGTCAGCGTGAAGTTTTCCACATGGACTCTGTGTTAATAAAATATTTACTGTTTCAAATTCTGGATCTATCATTATTGATTCCACTAATGGAAAGTCTACCTTATTTATGTCTACGTCTTCTGGTTGAGGGTCACAATAATAAAAATCAATATTAACGTTTAACATTCTTGCTAACCTCTCACTTTCTGATGAAATGTCAAATCCTTCATATGCATCTATGGCTTCATTTAAATAACTTCTACGAGTTTTAGGATTAACACCATCAGGAATGTTATAGAAGCGTTTAAATAACCTTCTACCTTCGGCTCTTATTTGATTATCATTCATTTTAGCTGTTCCGTTTTTGTTCATTTATGTAAGAATAAAAAATTAAAAAATAAATAAAAATAAAGTTTATTTTTTTTAAAGTCCAGGGCTAAAGTCCATAAAATGAATTAAGAACACATAAATTTTTATCATCTGCGACGTGACGAATACATTTTAATTTACTCAAGAATGCGTACCCTGATACATTAAATCTAATTCCTGTCTTATTTAATTTCACAACTTTGAAAAGGAATGTATGAATAGCTATAAAATGATGAGATGATGTTTTATGGGTTGCTTCCATTTTTCTGAAATAAATGAATAAATATAATGTTTATAAGTTTTCATATCTTTTATATTCTTAATAACGAATGGTATAGACCTTTCAACTTCGTCTTCCTTCGGTGCTGTTCTTTCATATGAAACATTATTAGTATCTTCAATAATGAAACCACAATCGCATAAAATTTTATATGTACCAATTGTTTCTTTTGATATTTTATCTAACAAATCAAAAACTTTATCAACACCTGTACATTTATTTAAATAATAATTTGTGTAAATATCATGGTCTTCTTTCTTAATCGTATTTGTTGCATATGTTACATTTTTCAGTGCTTTTTGAATTTTTCAGAATCAAGAGGAGGTGAAAGTAATATACATGGATAATCTCCATCGTCAATAAATTGTAACTTATGTTTATGAATAAATTTTGTGCCTTCTTCTGAAAGTGTTTCATCTATTTCACCATCTAATAAATTTTTAGTAGATTCCAAAAAGTAATTTTTATATCTTTCTTCATGAGATTTTTTGAACTTCTGATTCTGAAGCTGGGATATTCATTAAACCCTCTACTTCATTCTCATTATATTTTTCAACTTCTCTTAATTCCTTAATTTTTTCATCTATTTCATCTCTTATTTTTTCCAGTCTTTCAATTTCATCATATTCATCATCTTTAATCCGTTCTTCATAATATTCAGGGAAAACATCAGGTTCTTTAGGTTTTTCTTCTTCAGATGTGGGATATAAGAAATTTATAACATCATCTTTATTCATTTTTCCATCATAATCTAAATCATTTAATAACTCCGCGAATTTTTGACAATTTCTTAAATAATATTTATTAACTTCATAACTCGCCTCCTCTAATATATCCTTTATTTCCTCGTTTGTGAATCCCAATTTTTTAACGTCGTTAGTCTTGACACTCATTTTCATACGAATTAAAAAAATAAATTATTCAAAAAATGTAAGACATGAATTTTTAAAGTTTATTTTTTTATTTTTTTTATTTTTTTTTATTTCATTATGTATGGGTTTAGTGAAAATTTCTTACGATTCTGAAAATTTTTAAATCTTGATTTATTCAAAAACGTAAGAATAAAAACCGTAAAAATCATACATTTTTTACTTCATATGTAAAAAAAATGATACAAAATCGCTCAAAAATGTATGAATTCTTACGTTTACAAAAAAAGTCACAAAACCCTTCAACATATACTACTATGAATGTCTTGATCGGACATTAATAATTTTTAATAAGGACACATTCCTGTTTTACCATATAAAATATTATTTAAATTAATTAGAAAAAAAAATCTTCTTCTTCTTTTTTCTTATGGAAATTCCGTGTAAAGTGGCATTCTTCTTATTTTCATATGGTTACTGATCGCTTCTTTTCTGCTCGTTATGGCAGAGATGATAAAAATGAATGGTGCAGCCTAATTTATTACTCCAATTGGCAACTATCATGTATAGTAAACATAGTTGTATTGTCAGTTATTCTTCAGCATTATGCAATTTAAAATCAACTTCGTTAATTTTAATTATTTTGCAACAGTACTCCTACTTGGAGATAACATCAAGATTGCACCTGCCAAAGCCCACATTAAAAATCGAAATTTTGCATCTCGAAAATGCAACGACAGAATTCCTTGTAATTTTGTGTTCTTACGTTGCTTATGATATATATTCAAATAGCTTGAATATAGAAAAAGTTACTAAAAATTGAGAAAATTACTAGTAAATTTATATATAAATTACTTATAAATTACGATTATCTCTATAATGAGTGCACTGTACCGCATATAATCGTTTGATATTTAAATACTCCTTAAATTAATTAGAAATAAAAAAAATTCTATATTATAGATGTGGAAAACAATGATATCAAAGATTTCGGATATGATTTTCAAAAACTAACCAAATACTGATATGTTATTCTACAGATCATATATTAAATCATACTACCTGCTATTTATATTGATGATTTGAATTTTGGAGATCCCAGACGTTATTTCTCCAAACGAAATCCTGAAACTTTTCACATTAAAACAGCTAAATCAGTTGATGAAATTTAAAGTTTGAAAACAAGCGTTTTAATTAACAAGTATAAAGTAAGGACATACAATCTCATTGTTAGTATAGTCATGACAGGTAGATACAACTATTGTTCGCTCACGTTTTAAATAAACAGATTATTTTTGAGCTTTGCTTAATAGTTCTGCCTTCCTTTTTGAAAGCTGTCGTATTTTCTCTTCTAATTCGTTAATTTGATCAATTTCTTTTTCGTATTTTGGTGGTTCTTGTTGAATTGGTTCTCCACCCAATTCATCCTTAGCTAATGATTCATCATTTTGATATAATGATGAAAGTTCTTCAACTTTTGCTGTGTCTGCTGCAATTTGGCTCTTTAATTCTTCAATTTGTGCTTTTACTCGGTCCAACTGTGAACCAACAGCGATTTCTATATTAGCACATTCCTGAAGCTCTTTAATACCCTCTCTGAGTTTGTTCCTAAGCTCTTCGTTATTCTGATCTCCACTCATTTTTGAATTTTTAAACGATTAAAAATGTTGTCACTTTTTTAAATATCAAGATCAACTGAATTTCATGATATTCATATGACATTATCTTTTAAGAACTCAATAAATGTAAGTACTTTGAGCTGTAATACAATTTGATCCAGAAATGAATGATTAGAATAGATTAAAGATTATTTTTCTCTTATTTAATGTTTTAACACCTAACATCATTTACATATTGCATTCATTCACTTCATATTAGCAGATACTCTATAAAATAAGTTTCTACTGCTCATTTATATCTTTTTTATACAATATGCACTGACTTATAATCTCTAAAACATATTTGTATGTTCTACTTTATAAAACTTCATTTTAGCCTTATTGTAGGCATTCAAAATCCTGTTTTGAAATTAAAAATTATATTTTCAAAAATTTAAACATTTCAAATACGGCAAATGATCTGTAATAAAACTATATTAGATAGAATGCTTTATATAAAATAAATAAAGAATAATATAAAAAAAATACAAAATTAATTTGAAAGTTGAGAAAGTGTTTCACGGAGAACTTCGTTTTCCTGGCCAATGCAAGAAATTATTTCAGCAATTCCTTGCAAATCTGAAACGTAGTTAAGATGTTTGATTTCTGCTTCTTTTAAGAGATTTAAGAAATCCCTATAGCATACTTCATCAGATAACGGTTCATCCGATGGTCTGACAGTTGAAAATTCTTCAATAACAACGGTTTTTCTGTCAGAATCAGCTTTTACACGTTTTAACTCCTTTTCTAGGTCCTTAACAGTCCTTAGGAGTGATTCTCTTTCTCTCATCTCTGCATCAACTGTTCTTGTAAGCTCTTCTATGTATGGAGAATCAATTTGAATGACAGGAAGGTTATTTCTCTCTTGTATTAAGCGTTTCTCGAGATCTCTCACGATACCAATCTTTTTCTGGATCGATTTTGCTTCGCTTCTGTTGTAATTTTGAATTGTATTTTTCATTTCGGAAATTTCGGATTTGTTTGAAGCAATCTTTTGTTTGAGCTTCTCCAATTCTTCTTTGGCGGTCTGTATCTCGTTTGTTGTTTTAGATTCTGTTTCGCTGTTTTCTTTTTCAATTTTAACGATATTCATTTCTAATTCCGAAAGATTTGTTTGATCTCTTGCTTGTTCATTTAACGTTGATGATAGTTTATCTTCTTCTGCGCGAACTTCTTCAGATTTTTTATTAAATGAAGAAACAAGATCATTATACGCTACTAATTGTTGTTCATTAATTGTAGCTGCTTGTTGCTTCCATCCGTTCAATCTAAACCTTCTGCCATGTTGTGCTTCTCTTTCTATTTTTAATAATTCGCATTGTTGTAATAGATCTTCGATTTGTATACGGCTAAATCTGCATGTCTGAAGTTGGTGAACCAATACTTCTTGCTTTGTGAAATATGCGCCAGAGTCTTCTATGACTAACGTAATTTCTTGTTCTTGTGCAGCGGCATTGGCTAGATTTTCAGCGATTTCTGATTCTTCTTGGAATAGAGTATCATAATACTGTTGCGCTTTTGATAATTGCTCTCGTAAATTCGCTTCTTTTTGTTTGAGATTTCTTATTTCAGGTGTTTTTAATGCATTTATATCGCTTAGACGATCGAATTCTGCATTTAACTTAATTTGTGTTTGAGCGAACTCCTCTTCAAGGTCCTTCAGTGCTTTTTGAGATTCGGCTAATTGACTTCTCAAAAGAGGGAGTTGAGAGTTCTGCGCTTGCAGCTTTGTTATCTGATTCTCCATTTCCTCGTGCTCATCGCTCATTTGGAGGAGCTGTTCCTTCATTATTCCATATTCCTCGAGAGTAATCATAACTTTAGTGTAGTTTCGCCTAATGGTGTCACCCCCTGAAATTTTTCCTTAATGTATTTTATATTGCATTTATTGAACTTGCATAGATATTTAGAGAGTAATTGATGTTGATTTTGTATTGTGTAGGACATAACATATTAAGTTATTAAGATTGTTTAGTTCAACATTATCATTTACTATTGATATATTAAAGATTCTAAGACATATTTTGATTTTTAGTTATTTAGCTAGAGTAACTCATGCAAATGGAATTAATTTAAGAAATATGAATGTTTTGCAAACATCTCATTTTCGGCAACGTGAGATCCCACTTTTGAGAGTTTTACATGGCATTTGTCAGTTATATCAAATAATTTAGGGTAAATACACCGGTAAACCCCTGGAAAATAATTGAGAAGATTTGATGAATGAAGCAAAATCAACAGCAAGCTGAACTGAAGACGCTTCCAAAATTCCCGAAAGAAAGAGCTAAAGAGATAGCAGACTTTATTTTAAAAGATATATTTGAAGATCCTCAATTTGATTATAATTATATTCAATACTTTCTAGATATGGCTTCAAAAGCAATTACATTCGAAATCCATAATGATATAAGTTCGGATTTTTCTGTTTTTGTTCAGGTAACACTTCTTGAAAACTTAGGTCAATCAATAATTTCAGCATCAATGTCTCTATGGGACCAGCGCACAGATGATTATGTTGCTACTTCATACTCAACAAACAAATTCACGTGCTTAGTTAACATATATGGTGTTTTTTCTCCTGAAAACAAGTAATTAGAAGACTTGTAAAGTTAATATTAGCAAATTTATGATTCATATTAAAGTTCAATATCTGATTGTTGACTTTTAAAGATATTATTAGCAAATTACAGTATACGGAAAAAGTATACTGTTAAATGAGTTCCTCATGCTTACAAAATCTATGTTAAATCTCCATGTTCCAAATTACTATTATTGAACATGTTATTCAAGTTTGCAAACTAATAATTTTTAAGTAAACAAGCATATCATGTTTCTTTTTATCCGAATGAGTTAAATAAAGTTATATGATCTTACTTACCATGATTTTTGAGTTCTAAATATCAAATTTGTTATATAATTACTGTTTCAGATGGCTGTGTTTGCCATTTGTAGCCATTTTCGGCAAAAATGGCATATATTGATCGTAGTAAATGAGCTTATTCAAATGATTTTGAGTGAGATTGTTTAAAATTCGATTTCAAAATTTATCACGCAAAACATAAGACAGACTTTTAGCATAATCACATTTGTTTAGAGAATGACAAAATATCATTCGATAATTGAGAAATAACATTATATTGCTATGAAAGTAAGGTATTTATTAAGAGTTTGTTGGGACTTATATACGCTGCAATAAGACATTAGATAGTTATCATACTTAGCAAGACCAGAAGAGAAGACAGTATAAAAATAAGTGTGCCTTCACTCCGAGGTGTGATACAGTTATGATCTACTCTATCTATAACATAAATATGAGTCCCTTTCCCCGGCTAGAAATGGTGAGGGTACACTTATAAAAATGTGGGTGAAAGAGTGTAAAGCTTTTTTTTTCTGATGAGTGTGAGAGAACTTCTTAACACAATAACTCAGAAAATAAAGGACTCTTTAGATTGTTCAGATGAATGCAAAAAACTATCATCCAAGTATACTGATTGTATCAAGCATGATGAGTTTTATAATCTTCCAATTAACGTGATTTTTAAAATTACAGAAATGCACAAAGGAGATCTCTCACAAAAACAAATAAATAGAGTATGCGATAAGATTCGAGCAAAATTCGGAGAAAACTACGTTCGAAAATTCAAAAGTATCGAAAATGTCTACAAATCTTTATCATTTGTAGCATATGCACCTACAAAAGAGCCTATCCCTATCGCCGAAGAGGAAGAAGATTGCGAGATCTTTGAAGAAGAAGACGAAGAAGGAGAATTTGAAGAAGAAGAGGAAATAAATTCCGAAATTACATTAGCAGAAGTGCCATTAGGAATACTCAGAGCAGCCTGGACAGGAGATATAAAGGAAATACAGCACTATCTAATACAAAATCCCCAACTTATTCAAAGTTGTTTTGATAGAGTTGGATATCCACTTCATTGTGCTGTTTTCAATGATAGAACAGAAGCTGTAGAGTATCTAATAAAGAAAGGCGCTGATGTTAATCAACAAGGAGCTTTAGGACAGACTCCATTGCATTATGCAGTTCAAGGTGACGTTGTAGAGATATTTAATTTATTACTAAAGGCTCCAAACATTGTAATCGACTCTGAAGATTATGCTGGAGATACTCCTTTCGTTGTAGCTGCAAAAAATGAAAAATATGATTATATGAAATCACTTTTAGAGAAAGGTGCAAACATTAACTACCAAAACCATGCAAAAGAAACAGCTCTACACTACGCTGCAAGCAATGGAATGTTAAAACTTACGGAATTTCTTTTGAATAACAACGCAAATTACAATTTATGCGATGAATTCATGAAATCTCCATTTATCGTCGCATGTGAATGTGGCTTTGGAGATGTTGCTTCATTAATCAACCAGAAATACGCTGAATCTAATATTGTTATCATACAAGATTATTCTAGTGATGAGGATTAATTTTTCTTATATTTTGTTTGAATAATGACTGATTTTTTTTTGTATAAAATTATATAATATTATTTAACGCTTGAAATCATTATTTTTTACATCTGATTTTCTTTAATTGCGTAAATATTATAGCTCCACAACTTGAAAGTCAATGATTGTCATAAAAATTATTCCGAATTTGGTTTTTAATTTGGGTAATTCATAACCTATTAAGAATATCCTCATTAACATTGTATAATTTCATTCGTTTCTAGGAGTTAGCTTACTTATATGTGAATTAATGTAAAAGAATTGGATTCAATCGATAAATAATTGAATTTTTTACTATAGATAATGACAGAATTTAATAATATATGTTATATATGGTGATATATTTTGAAATATTCTTTAAAACATCAAATTTCAGAATCATATATTGAATCATTCCCATTAATGAAAAATAATAGACAGCACTATCTGTTTTAAAATATTTATGGTCAAAAATAATAGCAGGTACTGTAAAATACACATTTTATTAACATATCTTGTTTTTGTTTTTTAATTTTTGTAAAATAACACGAAAATCTATGATTTTATGGGACTATGTGATTGGGAATGAACATATTTATTTCTCTTCTGTACCACGTTCGGCAATAGTAAATTCCATCTTTGTTTCTGTTTCTGCAATATCAAACATTGGAGATACAGTTGTAATTTCTTTCATAATTCGTCGTAAATGATATCCGTAGAAGCCTAATAATAAAGCTAATGATAAAAACATTATAATCATAGCTATTGGATGTGCACCAGTTGACGAGAATGATACATGCTCCCCTAGGGAATCATCAGGAAGTTCAGCCTTTACTAATGAAAAAATCCAGAAAAGGAGCATTTTTTTTAAATATTGTCACTTTTTCTCTTCCTAATTTATACTCAGAATGGATAAATCAAAAAACACTCAGCCATGGTCTGCATCAGAAGATACATTAGTAGTTTGGCTTGTTTTATCATGCCCATTCAGCGAGTTTTCTAAACAAGCAGCAGCTTTACCAAACAGATCTCCTTCTGAAATCGTTGAAAGGTTTACAGTTATTATGAACGATCCAGAGCTAACAGAAAGAGTCAACCATGAAAGCCATAATGATATTTTGTCATATCGTCCAGTTCCATGGACTACACTCGAAACGTACAATTTAGTTCGTTTATGTCATCAAAACAAGCGTTGCATTCCAACAACATTCCTCGAAAGATTCCCATCAATGTTTCATCCGTCAAGAACAGCAACAGCAATTACCACAATGGACGAAAAATTACGTCAAAAAGAGCAAAGTTCAATAGAATCACAAAATGCCATATGGCGTCAATATCAAGACGAGATATACAAATTTGTTGATAACCATGATTTAGTTGCTTTCCCAGGTTCAGAAGATCCTGTTAAAGATGTAACTGAATTTATAAAATCAGAAACAGATAATCTTCTCAAACAAGAAGAACAAACTAAAGGTTTATCTTTCGATGTCATTACTTCAAAAGTTGAAGGAAAATGGACAAAGAAATCATTCGCAGTTTTAGTTGGTGGAACAGATGTTCGTTTAATTGAATCTACAAACGTAGTATTCGGAAGAGCATCTCCAAAATGCAAACCTGACGTAGATCTTGCTTATTTGAATTTACAAAGTATTTCAAGACGCCATTGCGCAATTAAGCTTTGCACAGACCTTAGATTCTACATTGAATGCCTTGGAGCCATAGTTATAGTTAATGGTTCAATATTCAAGAAAGGATCTATTGTTAGGCTTCATGATAAGGATATTATTGATATTGGTGGCGCACCTTTTGTATTTGTAGAAAATCATAGCCTAATGGATTCATTACGCCACGCAAAATAATTAAATTTTAAATATAATATTGTACAAGCATTAAATAAAGTCGTTTATTTCTTCATTCATTATATTTTTATATTTTTATTGCGCATTACACTCTAAATGTTAAATTTTAAAATATTTTTCTACAAATTATCTAAATCATTTGCAAATTATGTGCAATATGTCCAGCAATACAGAATGGAGTACTTACGTCAATAATTTTATCAGAATTAGATAAATAATGTTATTCAGTATTGAATTAACTCAATGATATAATTAATGCTGAGTAAATTCGTTAAAATTACATGAATTGTAAAATATGCGAAAGCAGAGACACCATAAAGAGTTTCTTTTTCGATTTCAATTAATTCAAAACGAAAAACTATGCTCTTAGACTGTAAACGTTTTACCTTCTGATTGCACATGACACAACAATACGTTTACTGCTTCAGAGTTATTTCTTAATTTATGTTATTTAATAAAAATGATGTTAATATCTTCTATGTTAGTTGTATTAAAAAATTTAAGTAAATAACAAAATTAATTGTTTAATCCGGGATCCATCACGAACAGGAGTAATCTGAATCGAGTTTCCGGACGAATCCGGCGACATGTATCTCACTCACAAACGCAGCGTGCTTAGTCGTTCCATCCCAAATGGGTCTTCGCAGGGCTCGCCATTATATGGGCTCGTTACTGGTTCCAAGCAATGCGTTCACCGCATGTTCCGCCAAGAAAACAATTAGCGCTCTCAGACTTTCCCACAGCCGTAAGACAGAACAAGTTTATCAGTATGGTGGCTGTTACACATCCTCCATCGTGATGAATGGCTATCGTCTTGATTTCAGACGTTTACTTTTAGATGGAATCAACACCAAGCAAATATGATGTTGGGAAATTCGAAGATTGTTGGATACCATTAAACCATATAGGTAAAAGCATGCTACTTATAAAATTATTTTTCATATTTGATTCTTTAGTTAATAGCTGATTAATATCTATCGGTATTGATCCTACAAGTGATGGACATAGTGTTGCTCAAAGAGGCCATAAAGACATCCTTGTTCAAGATATATTTCCATAATGATGCTCCTCGTAGTTTATTATTGACTTCATATGAGACATATTTTATTCAGATTCAGCTAGTGACAACATATCTGGCCGCTGAATCATCTTTATTTAAGTTATAAATTAAATATTGTTGATATTAATTCATTGATTTAATATTCTTTTGAAGATGTTCAAATAAACATTTGTAACGTCATTGGTTTTGAAGCAATGAAATTCAGAATTTGCTAAAGTTATTAAAAAATATCAGAAAAACATAAAATCAAAGCTTTTTATAGGATATTAACATTCTGTATTTCTAAAACGAGAGAATTTCATTCTTAATCCAAACAGAAATATAAAAAATAAAATATTTTGCTCGAAAATTGGAATTCAAAACAAATTCTGTAATTACTACCTGCTGTTATTACGTTGTTCTACAGCTCCTTCAGATTCAATGATGTAAATAATTGATTTCGAATTTCCAATTCTCTGATGAGCAAGATATTCGATTTTGCTCTTGAATGGGAGGTTGAGACATTGAGCAAGTTGATTTGCAATTGTTAAACGTAGATTTGGATCATCAGAAGTCTTATTCCAGACTAAAATTCTTTCAGCATCTAACTTTACTGATACAACAGCACCTGTAACATCATCACTAACGTTGTCTGAAATAAAATCAAGAAGGAGTTTTTCCCATTCTTGAGAAGCATGGTTTTTGAGTAATTTAATGAAGAAAGTTCCTCCATTTTGATTTTCTTTATCTTCGCGAACTGCTCTATAGTTACCACGGAAGAAGTGGAGTGCTGTATTCGGCTTCAGTTTTGAAGGAGGAATTGTATGGGAATAAACAGCCCAAAAATCTTCTATTGTTGTAACAGTTGAGATTTTTTGAATGCATTGCAAATAATCTTCAGACCTTCTTTGAGTTTTACTTGTGCTATAGTAATAAAAAGTCCAAGAATTTTCCAATGGATGACTCATTATTTTGTCACTTTTCTTCCTTGTAAATTTTTTTCTTTCCTTCAGCCTAAGACATGAGTTTGTTCTTAAGAAATTTAATAATTGTTATGCCAATACAGATAATGAGATGGCATCCTTTACAATGAAACTCGTATTTCTTTTAGTTTTTATCAAATTCAGTTGGATGTACATTGAACTAGTTTGAACTTTGTCTTGATAAGCATATTTCTGCTCAACATATATCTTAAAATGATATAACTATTGGTCTGTAACAAAATATTGAATTCAATAGTTCTAATTAACATTATATTACGTTGTTATAAGTTCCACTAAAACAAATAATTTATATGTCATTTAGCTCTTCATACAAATCAGATTTCTAAGATGTAATTGATTAATTTTTGACAACAAAGGTTAATTAATACTAGATCTAATGAATGAATTCGAAATGATAGCTTATTTGAAGTCTGAACTTGTATTACCGAAGCGAATTTAGCATCATCTGATATAAAATCATTTTTTCAGAAATTTGAATACCCTCTCCTTTTGGACAAATACTCCGATAAATTGAAATACACACCATACTAGTTCGTGATGGCGGCATTCGATCCGAAATGAAATCAAAAGAAAAATTCACTTCATTTATCATGAAAGCTATAGGAACTGTTGATATTCCTCCAGATACATTGTCCGCAATACGTGATTTTGAGCACAATACAACACTTCGTGCCATTAAACTTACAATTCAAACCGATAAACTTGTAATTGCAGAAAAAATTAACTCTCAAGGCAGTCCACAAAGCGATTTCAACGGTCTCACCAGCCATATGAATAAAGCAGAACCATGTTTCACACTTGTTCACGTTCCAAAGACAGGTGGACACGCTGGAAATGTACTTGTCATATTTATTCCAATGGCATGCCCACTCCGTACCAGAACAGCCTATGTTCAATCAAGATCATCTATCGAGAAAAAGCTCAAGAGTACAATTACATCAGGATTAGACTCTTATTTCATTGATGATCTTAAGGACTTTAACTATTCCGACTTTGAAAAGCAGAATACTAAAGATGATGCTGCTCTATCACCTGAAGAAAGGATTGAGAAGCAAGCACTTCATGATGCAATCCAAGAATCAAAGCATCCAGAAAAGAAAGATGCATTCACATGGAAATGTGATGCACAACTTACAGCAACCTTAAAGAAGCTAGCTACAAAGGTAGGACCAAAGATTGTCGCTGGAATGTGCGAACCAACAGGAAATGGCCTGAAATTATGTGGAACAGGTAATTCATTGAAGGATATCAAGACTGATGGAGCTAGATACATCGCTATGCATTACCAGAAACCAGGAAAAGAAGGCTTTTGCTTCATCTTATTCTGCTCTGACTCTGCAAAGCCACGTGAGAAGATGATGGCTTCAACTTGCAAGCAGTCGTTTATCAGTGGATGCAAGAGTTGCGGAATTGAATTCAATCAACAGATTGAATTGAGAGAACTCTCTGAATTTAATGATGCCAATGTCGAAAGGCATATTAAATGAGAGTTGTAATAAAAATAGGTTTTATTCGGTAAATATTGAGAATTTTCATATTATTTTGCTTATTTTTATCATTAAGAAACAATGTATAAGTGATTCATGTAGTGATGCCGATTTGGAAGTTAATTTCAATTTCGGAAGTAAATTATTTAAGTTTGGGAAGATTTTCAGGAAGATATGATGTAAACATACTACAAATTTGAACTTGGTTTTCGATCTTGGCAGTATAAGTTTCAATTCTCATCTTTAGTTCACATTCAATTTTCATAGCTATAATATGTATCAAAAACATAGATATACTTGAGAAAATGCTATTAATTGTTAAATATAATCTGAGAAGTTATATTTCAGCTAACATAACTTAGTAGAATGGATTTCTATTTGTTTCTTTAAGTATAAATTATATGCTGGTAGTAGAAAATGATATGTTTTTAATGAAATATTGATTCAAATAAGGGCAAGTAATTGATTGAGAACTGCTATTCTACCAAAGGTAGATATTAAAAGAGAAGTCCATGTTGTGAAATTGTAAAATCTAAAAAAATTTTATTTGAAAAAAATATTGGTTTACATAAGCTATAAAATAACATTTTTGATAAAGTAGAATCGTAACTTCATAAGAACTTAACACCATTCTCATCAAAGTCGGCCGCTTTAATTAAATTTGCTTTCTTTTCTTTTACAAGACATTCAATTGCTTTAAGCATCTGTTCTTGATCCATATTATGAAATGCTTCACTTTGAGTATCATCGCCTTCACGGAGTTCGTAAAATGTGAAAACTACGCCCTGAAGATTATTCTTGACCGCCCATTGGTAGAAAATATTTGCCCATTGAGCTGGCTTTCTGAAAATGATTTTGCATTTTGTGTGTTTGTCATCAGACCATTGGGCATTTTGTCTTTGAACGAGTTGGTCCAAAAAGAATTCGGCATCTTGCTGAGATAAAGCTCTACCGATTGCTTTATTGTTGAATAAATCTGTTTTTAACGCATCTGCTACTTTTAAGTCTTCTTTTTTATTTGCTTTGCACCATGAGAGTATTAGATCGCACCATGTTTGGGTCTGCATTCTCCTTGCTTCCATGCATGGTTGAATTGTCCAGAATGGTGGGAAGGAATAAATCGGCGGAAACTTGAACGACATTGAAAAAAAAATTTTTTTTTCTTATTTCACCGGAAAAAACTTATATCATAAATGTTTAAGCATTTGGATTTGGTGTTTCGAATTTCTGCTTATTTGTATTGATCTTTGGTATCAAACAAGCTGTCCAGCAGAGTGATTTTTAAGTTAGCATCATATTGACATCATTTTAATAATTTTTTGGAGTGTTCGCATCATATTGATATCATTTTAAAGGCATTGTGACTGTTTTGATTCAAAAGTTTGAACCCTGTGTGACCACAATGTCGACCAAGCCCCATGTGAATAAAATTTGCATGTGAAAATAAGTTAAATTTAGCTAAGTATATGAACAATCGGTATCAATTAAATTTTTGTATATATAGCCATTCCTTTTTACTATCTTTTAGACTTTTGCAAATTTGTATTCTAAAATTAAAAAATCAAAGCGAGATTGATAGTAAAAAACAAATAACAGTTTATTGATAACATTTTTATCACCACGACCCATAATTTGGCATAGGAGCAAATAAGGATATGGATAAGGTAGTAGATGATGATAATATTGAGGAGGATACTTAGGCTATTGAGTTAGCGGATATAGTCGAGTCGCTTTTTCTTCCTTTTGCTCATATATTATAACATGGTGAATTTTGGAATGTTTAGGTTATCTGATGGTCTAAATGGAATGATGTTATTTAACAACACGGAAGATATCAAAATTGTCCGGAATTATTCAAAGAAAGATCAAAGATCTATAAAGATAAATGAAATAAGATTTCAAATGCTAAAGAAAATAAGAACATATAAACCACTAGCATACAAGAACAAAATGATATAATGGTTAGAACTTATCTGCGTGATCTACAAGAAATCTATAACCCCAACCAATAAAAAGAATAAATAATGCTAAAAATGTCAAAGAAACAATAAGGATAACGTAGTCTTTGAAATTTATCCTTCTTTTTAGACTCATTGCTCGTTTCATAAGAGGATTTTTTCCACCAAGTTCAGCCATATCAATTAAAGCACAAGCTTTATCAATTTCCTTATTTATGTCTACTTTTGAGAATTTATTTGCTGCCATTTGCTCTGCTAAAATAAGATGAGAATATCCAGCCAACGAAATAAGTTGTTTATCTCCGACATGCTCATAAAAAGCAACCACTTTTCTCATAAAAGTGCTAGTGTCTTCTGCTGGATTTGCTCCAAATACGTGATCAATATCTGAACAAATTGTTGCGATTTTGGCTGGCCGTTTTTCTTGTTCTAAAGCTTTATAACATGCAACAACGCCGCCATATTTCGGTAAGTATTCTTGTATTTCTGTTTTCTTTACTTGTATTTCGTTTTTTCCTGACATTTTAAAATTTTTGACCATTTATTTTTTTGTAAAGTGTCAAAAAATGAAAAATGAATCCACGACATTTTTTGGGTCTCTGCTGATCAGAAGATCAGCGAACAAAGAGTTCGCTGTAGGAGCTCCATAACTCTTTTTCGTAGGATTGGGAGCTATGGCGCTCCTCTGTTCCAACTTCCAGATGCAATTATCAACAATTCCTTTTATCCATTCAAAAATAATCAGTAGAAAGGATTGTTGATAGTTACATCTGTTAAAATTCTTTGGAATATTCCATCTCGGAAGCCGCTGGTCCTGTATATGTAATTGAGGTGAAACCGATTAATCTCATTTACTTCTCAATTTTTCTGAGTTTCTTAAAAAATGTAGTCGTCCCTTAAATTCTATCGTTTATTCAGGTTGTTCTGCCTCCTCAGATTGTGGCGGATCTGGTTTATTTACGTCTACAAATTTAATGATCGTAGTATCTATAGAATCTTTAAACCCAGGAATTTTATCTATAAAAATTTCAACATTATCAGTCACATCAACGAATTTTAATAATTCTTTAAGATTCATATAAGTTTTGTCATATCCAATATGATATAATAAATCTGAATAAAATTCTGGCTCATTTTTTTGAAAATCCGGATGGAGTGCAATATCTGGAAATTTTTTTAACAACTCATGCATTAATTTTGTCCAAGATGTGCCAAATGGAACCCAAATTAAGATTTTAAATTCCATTTTTTTTATATCCAAAAGCGAAATCTCCTCCAACAACTATAGGATTGTGTTTTGAAGAGGATGTTTCTACAATGTAATCATCATTTTTCAGATTTGACCCACAAAAATCAAAATTAATTGATTTTGGTGCAACTTTATCTTCATTAATCAAACTTTGTGTTACTGATTCAAACTTCATTTTTGGATCGTTGTATGTAGTGATGCGAAAAATTCCCAAACATATGGGGCTTCTCATATCCCGTCCCCTATCGTTTCCCCAATTCAATTTTTTTTTGGAATTTTATTTTTTTCCCGCCCATTTGAATTAAAAATGGGCGATTTTCGTTAATGTGATTGAAATATCATAAAATTAATACGTATTTTAGCTAATAATTCTATTTTTATACAATATTCTCTCATTAAATCAACAATTTTTTCTAATTTTAATTTTTAATTTTTAATTTCTTCATAATTTTAGCGATTTATGCTCATTATTAGCAAATAAATAATATATAGAATATACTTATTTCATTTTATTCAGATAGGTCTTTGGGATTGGGATACCTTGTCCAAATTCAGAGGAAGTTTGAGAGGTTGGGATGGGGTAGCCCATATTCAATTATCCCAAGTGTACTCCACGAATTTAAAATTATATTATATTATTGACGACATATCTAAATTTATAGATAAAAATTTCAATGCATACACAATTTTTTTTGAGAAAATTCTTTTTTTACTTATTTTCATTCATAAAAGCTCACGTGAACTTAATTAACAACTGAGACATTTCCTATGAAACCATTTAATGCCGTCAAAATAGACATGTCGAAGCTGTTTTGAGTGACTTTCGCTCGATGTCTGATATTGCATCAGACATCGAGCGAAAGTCTCTCAGATTGGCTACACATCCATACGATCAATACTAGAGCTACGAATTACAAGCCTGTTTGGGCGATTTTTGGCCGAGTTCTGATTTTTCATTAGATCTCGAGCGAAAGTCTCTCAAATTGGCTGCCAGTTCATAAGAGTGAAACTCTAGCTACAAATTAGAAGCTTGCTTGAGAGACTCTCGCTCGCGTTGGGATCTGCATCAGAACTCGAGCGAAAGCCTCTCAAAGTGGTAAGACCTGCTCATTGTTGAACAGGAGCTGCGTAATGTGTTCGAGTAGAGTAAGGCTCTTCTAAGATCTTCCCTTGTGATTGGAAGAAATTCGAAGAGCCTCACTCTACTATTTTGTAATTGTATGCCCTGGCCTTTGAGTGACCAGGGCTGCGTAATGTGTTCGAGTAGGATTGTACAATAGATCGGCAAACGTTGAGCAAATTGATATAAACGTACATCCCACAAAAAATGGATTGTCAAAATTTATCACAAATTTTACAAAACCGCAGCGGTTATGACATCCCAGGGCTAAAAAAATTCCGAAAATCGCATCTCTAGTTGTATGCATAATCAAAAGTCGGAAAATTTGATGCAAATGAAAAGAAAGGAAAATCAATTGCTTTAGCAAATAATTTAATGTTTTTTCCATAATCCTTTAATTTTGTCGTGTAATCTAAAATTTTTGTGTTATTATGCTCTAAATAAAATAATTGTTGTAATACGTTATTTCACTGTAAAGAGCTGGAGTTAAACAAGATTCTGTAAGAAGAATCGGGTGTTCTGTTGGATCGATGTGAAGTTGATTATAGAATTCGTAGTGCCAAATCTTTTCCATATCATCCCAATTTGTAATAATCCCGTGTTTAATTGGATATTTGAGGTCGAGGATACAAGACATAGATAAAGCTTCATTTCCAATGAAAAAATCTTGACGTAATCGTTGATTATTTTTTGGACGTCCAACAATGTTTGGGATAACAGAATGTGGAGCTTCCATTGAAGCGAAACCAGCTTTGCACATATATGAACCATTATCTATAACAATTGTTTGTACGTCTTCGTCAAACATTTATCAAAATAATACATAAGGTGGTAATATTTTTTATGAAATAAGGTGGTAAAAAAAATCAAATTATGTCAATTTTCATGGTATTCTGCAGGAGCACAAACTAAGGATGTCGGAACTGCCAAAAGCGCAAATTTTGTTCATCACGAATTGCCAAGCTTGGCAATTCTTAGATGAGCGAAGTTTTGAAAAAAAATTAGTAAATTTTGCATTATTTAAGTCGGAAAGAATTGCCAAAATGACCTCAGAATTGCTAAGTCTGAATCCTTACACAAACTTATTTCTCAATGCTTCAACACATTTAAAAAGAGAAACGTATTGATAAGGGTTGAAAAAACTGAGAGGAGTTAAGTGGTCGGTCAGAACTCTTATTAAGATGATCACTTTTAATGAAGAGTTTTACAGAGAAAACAGAATTATTAATGTGAGAATGTGAATAATTCTGCAAGAATTTCTTAGAGAGAGCAAAATCCGAAAGGATCCCATCTTTCGACGAATCCAAGGCCCAATATTGATGTTGCCAACACAAATGCTGAATCAAAGTTGTAAAACATGAGTGCAATTGAAAATAAAAATAATTCGACTTCCATAGTTTGTCTTGGATTCTTCCAAAGTAGTTCGCGATCGAAAGATGACTTGAATTCCTCGAAACTGCCAAGAATCTTCTTGAATCTCTTACGTAACTGCTGATCCAACTCTTTCATCTTCTGTTTGATGTTCTTTGAGTCTTTAGAGAAGAGGAACTTAATGCCACGGTTGATGGTAAGTAGGAATACAGTGGAAGAAACGAAAAATCGGATTGTAACTATAATTAAAAGTAATTTAAAGGTCAAAATTAAGCCAACAAAGGTACCGAAGAATAACATTTCACTACAAGATATCATATCGTTCAATACATCGTTATTAATTGGAAATGAGATAATAATTTAACTGCGTTCTCATTCACTTGTTCTACAACATGTGGAGGTGGTTCATTAATGATATTATCCTTGATTGCATGATATTCGACGTAAAAATTTGTTGACATCACCACATTCTCTGACACGACGCGGAATACCTAACGCGAGGGAATCAAATTGAGCTTGGCCTATTTGTTGTGTCTCAAGGAGTTTGGAAAAAAGCTCAACAAATGTCTTCTGATTGTCAGGTCTTCCAATCATTTTGAGTATATTGCAATCATTCACTTCTTTCTGAACAAAAGAATCAATATCTGCAATATTATTAAAATTCACTTACTTCAATGTGATTTCTTGCTAATATGAGTTCATTCTTCAAATTTTCTATTTCACAGATCAAACTTAAGCTTTTATCCTTGCATTTCGCTGAAGTCAATATTAAAGGATGTAAGCTATCATACAAAATTAGGGTTGTACAAACTGGCACGCCTGCTGGCACACCTTTTTTGGCCAGCTGGCACGATTTTTTTAAAAAACACATTAAAAAAGTCACTTTTTGCCTCATCTAATGAGATTTTTTTTACCCAGATTTTCCTTACTTTTACCACCCCTCTAAAGCTGGGGACACCGCCTATCGTTGGGAGTAGCTATTAAATAGAACCACCAAGGGTATTTTTCGAACTGCCGGTGTAGTGGAAACATCCGACATAATGATTCATTATGCCAAGGTTTGATTCTAATTTAGCTAATTTTTTTCTTTTTTGGATCATGAATTTTTTTTGGGTCACTATAAGATTTGTTTCATGTTCTAAATCTGCTGCATATGTAATCTATTTTTATTTACCTATTTTTTAAAAATCTATTGGATTGCCAAATTTGAATATATTTAAAATCATAAAACTCCAAAAAAACAAAAAATATTGTTTCATGCATAGTGCCGATACTCAAATATCAGATTATTTAGATATCATAAATAATATCCGAATTTTTTTTCTTAAAAGTAAACTTCAAAACTTCTTGCAATCTTATTCTTCATCTATTGTAAATTTTTAAAACCATTTTTAAAATAATTTTGCGTAAATTTTATTCTCATGTTGTTTTAATCGAAAATTGATACATTTTCAAAAAAATAATATTGACTTATGAAATTCATTTTTAAGGTGAAATAGTATTGTTTTTATTAAGTATTGAATAATATATAAAAAATTAATGAATAATATAAGCAGATTTTTAGTTTACAAAACAAATATGAGCAATGCAATTTCAAACTTTTGCTGGCAATTTCGATATTGCTCAAGTTTGTAGTATTTGTGATACCTATAACATCGGCTTAATCAAAATTCGATTTTTCTTATGAGTTATTGAGAAAATTTGATTGCAATGAGAAGGATTTCGACGTTTTTGATAAATTAAGAGCTGAGCTTTAGGGGTTCAGTTCATTTATGGCTGTAGTTTGATGTGTAGATCTCTTTTTTATTGTAAATTCTTTCAGCATGGAGATCGAGAATGAATCTTTTGAGAACTTTATGAGTTTTTACACCCGTAAAGAGGTCCTTCGAGGAAAGACAGTCCAGACTACATGAAGATGTGGGTTAACCAAAAAAATCCGATGGTTTCCCCATATTCATGTAGATCTTCGAAAAAATGAGCACCAAAAAAGCCAAAAAAATAGGCTTTTTATTGGATTTGTACACTAGATCAATAACCTATTTAGGATCTGACACTCTTTTTAGCCAGAGATATGAGGTCCTTTCTAGGAAAACGATCTATTCATCCATAAAAAAAATGAATTATCGTTTTCCCCAGAAATTACATGGGGAGTGGTAAAAGTAAGGAAAATCTGGGTACAATTTTTTCCCCTTATTTTTCAATTTAGATATGATTTTAAGCTCTCCAAATTGAAGTTTACCTGATGTTTCTTAGTTTTTATGATAATAAAATGTTGCAAAGTTGAGTTTGGATTCAATAAATTTAAGAAAATTTTATTTTACAATGAAATTATAAGAAAGGATGTTTTTATCCTATGTCAAAGAGAATACAATTGTAGATCCCGACTAGGGTTGTTAAAAATATCAAAAATTAGCGTTTTGAAGACACCATGGTGTCTTATAATTTTCCCTTCCTTATTGGCGTGTAGAAATAAATGCGCCAATAGATTGAAGAAGAAGAATTGTTTTTCTCTTAATGAACTTTAATCCTTTTGATATAAGAATATTAAAAACATTAATATAATTTCGATTTCGGAAATTAAATTTCCAAATTTTTTGTCGATTTCGGAAATTACAGGATCCCGCATCCAACACGCAACAACAAAACACAAAACACACTTTTTGGTTCTTTCATCGTTTTAAACGTAATTTATGTAATACATGATTTGGATAAATTTTACAAAAATAGAACCTATATTATATTCTTTTCAAAGATTCTTGCAAATCATCAAAAATAATTGTATTTTAAAAACGATCAAATTATCTCTTCCATTATTTTAAACTTAAATTAGTTTTTATGATTGACTAAAGCAATCATATTTATTCATCATTAAATAAACAAAAAAATAATATTTGAGAGTTATTTCAAAAAAAACGCATTGAATTTATTAATTTGTCTCAATTTCAGTATTATAAATTTTTATAATTTCAATATTTTGAAATACACTTTTTAATATTTCAATATTTATGATATTTCAAAGTTTTAAGTGGTCTCAAATTGAGCTTCTCAAATATAAGTTGGCCTATTCAAATAATAAAATTAAATAATATTTAAAATAATAAATAAAATAAGGGTTTCGTTTTGCTAAAATTGTCACTTTTATAGCATATTTTGTTTTTGGATGTTTTGCGAAACCAAAAAAAAAAAACTATGATATACAATGTGTGTGTAAAGAAAATACTTATTTACTAGTTAAAAAATCTTTTGGTATTGATCAAGTTATTTTTTTGGATAAGATATTATATGGATAATTGGATAGAAAATACAATTATATAATCTTGTACCTGGTTTAATTAAGCTAATTGTCATCAGAAACTTGTAATTTTTATGAATTTCAGATTTTCTTTTCATTACTGCTTTTCTTAATAGGTCAAGTTCTTATTTACGTTATAAAGTATGATATTTACAAAATATCAAGTTATCATGTTTTTTGAGAAATTATGAGAAAACAAACAAAATGAAAAAGATAGGAATAGCAATGAATAGTGATGTGGGTATAGAAAATGTAAGAGATATGAATGCAAAGCAATCAGTATTTAGGATATTGACCATAGATTTCGAAAAAAAAATGCTGCATATTGAGGCGAAAACTATGATTATATTATAAGGCTGTCATTTAAAGCATAATGAAACTATTCCCTTTTCATTTTAATCGAATAAGATAGTAAAGATTTTTGAATTAGCTAGAAACTGATGAGATGTTTTCACAAATCAGATTTTTAATCTCTATAATGCATAATTCATCAATATCTCAATTTTTGATATTGCGAGATATTTTTGCTATCGTTTTCGCAATTTTGACACAATAGCAAGAGGGTTCTATAAGCACATTATTATCAACGTAGAATCTGAATATCTATAAGAAAATGTCGCAAATCTGACATTTACCGACAAAATAGCAAAAATAATTGAATACTTTTCGCAAAAACTTTAAAAATCGATAAAAATATGAAATATAGATATTAAAGAGACTTTTTTTATATAATTAAAAAAAAAAAAAAAAAAAAAAAAAAAAAAAAAGGTAGTGGGGCTTCCAGGGGCTGCGCCCCTTCTAGCCCGAAGATGTTTAGTATAAATGAAGTTCTTATATACGGGTCTTCCAGGAGCTTTTCACAAATTATATATTGTTTCATGTTTTGTCAAGACTTCTTCGTAAAATCAGACAAAAATATGTTTAGGGAAGAAGGTTAGATATAACCTCTTTTCTAACCTCTTTTCTACCCTCTTGAATTTTCAAGACTTCTTCGTACATGTTTTGTCACTTTCTGTCACTTTTCAGGAAAAAACATTTTTATTATTATAATAAATGAATTTTACAAAACCTCGTTACCGTTCTTTGGAAATAAGAGTAAATGTAAAGATATTATATTGAGAGAACTTAAGAAACTACCGAATGGTCTAACATTTGTAGATTTGTTCGGTGGAAGTTTCTATATATCCCATTTGTGCCATACTGTATTTCCTGACTCAAAGATTATATGCAATGACTTCGACAACTATATATGAACCGTCTCAAACATATTCCAGACACTAACAAAATATTGAAAGAGTTAAAAAGAAAAGATACCTATAGGTAAGATGGAACGTATACCATTAGATAAGAAAAATATTGTGAGAGAGGTTTTGAAAAAAGCAGAATATATAGACTGGAATAGTATATCTGCTAGACTATTATATAGTGGTGCTATAAGAGTTCATGACATTGAAACACTTATGTCAAAAGTTTTATATCTCAACTATACAAATGTTTTCAAAGAGGACATAGAAAAATATATTGAGGGTATAGAGTTTGTGAGATGTCATGGACAGAGTTGTATGAAAAATATAAAGACAAGGAAATGTTTTCTTTATAGTGGACCACCGTTCTATAACACATGGGATTTTCAATACCAAGTAGACTGGACTTTGAGAGACTCTTTAGAAACTTTAGACGTTTTACATAACCATCCATCTTTTACTTTACATCCGATAAAAGTGGTTTGGAAACCGTTATGAGATGGTTAGAGGACATACATGACTATGAGTTTATATATGACAAGATAGAATGAGAGAGGTCCTATAAACTGGAGAAAGTGTCATAACAAAGAAATTTAACTAGTAAGTAAATGTGGTTTGAAATAGGACTACTTGTTTTAGGTTTTTCCATTGTGTCATTTACTTATTTGACGTGGCAGAAAGATATAGAGAATATGAAGATGACCAATGCCTGCAAATTTTCAGCATATGTACTCGTAAGAGATATTTTTATCTAATATTAAATG